CTTTTTATTACTTTATATTACTATTTAAAGCATATAAGCATTTATTAAAAAATGAAATATCATTTTTAAGGTGTTACCTTTTATCACACTGTCTAATGCCCATACAAAATTCAGTTTTTTAGTATTTGGAGCAATTATTATTAATCAACGCAAACAGTCAGTTAATGTAGTTTGAATACTGGAATCATATTAATTGGTCCTCTTTAACAAATATTTAAACAGTTTTTTTTTATTTTTTTAATGAAATAAACGAATTATATCGACAATATTAGTATCTTTACTCTTTAAAAATTTGGTACATCTTTAAAAATAATCTAAAATGTCAATAGTCCATGGGTATATTGATAAATAAGTTCTAAATTACAAGAAAATGCATTTTCTACGGAAACTTAAAGAGATAGGTAAAAAATGGTATAATATAATTTGATAGACAACTAAACTGTGCATCTGATTCTCGTAAAATATACAGGGTGTTCCATTTAAATTAAACAAGTTATTGCCGTTTGAAGCTAATAATTATTTAAAATAAATTTTTAGACACTCTGTATAAGGTAGTATTATTTTTATTATTGCAACACAATAACAGATCAGTAAATAAACTTCAGTAAATATTTAGAATTAAAAACTTTGATACCCTTGGAGAAATGAAGCTTTAAAATTTTTACTGCAATTTCACAAAATTGAAAATATTTCAAAAACAGTAAGGTTTAAGTATAATAAATCTTAATCAAATTTACCTTTATTTTAATCGTGGGAAACTAAAAATGTAATAATATACAGGGTGTTCCATTTAAAAAAATACAACTTTGATATTGTTTACTTATTTGGGACACTCTGTATCTTGTAAAATTATTTTTAAATTATACCTCTAATAGTCCTTCATCGAACCCAAAACTTACAATTTGTAAAAATCTCATCGTTTAGCTACAATACTCCGTGTCGTATGTGGTGAACAACCCTGTATACAGTTTACTAACAAAATCAAGGAAATAAGACTAAAAATAAAAAAAAATATAACAGTTTAAACTAGACCAAAAATGTTTCCGTTGCGTTTATTTTGCACCTCAATGTAGCTTATATTTTATAAATATTATGGTTAAAAAACAAATAACTATTAAATATGTAGTGACAGGGTTTTCATCAATTTATAAGCCCTAAAAATAAAAAATTCAGGTCAGTTTTCAAATTTGCATTGCAAATTCAAACTCGAGGGGGATTTTAAAAAATGCATTTTTCGCAGATTTGGTTCGGAATTTTATTTTAGTTGCGAAGAATAAGTGGTTGCAACTTGTAAATTTTCCTATGCATTTAAACGGATTAAATTGAAAACGGTTTTTAATTTACTGTTGCTAGCGTGGAAATTTTCGTTTGCGCAGTGGAAAACGCAGAACATTTTGTTTCAGACAATGGCGGTTCCGCAATAAGCTCACATGCACAGGGTGGTTAAATTTGGTCTGTTTTAACAGAGAAACTCTATTTCCTGACTCAATCCTTCAAATGACTCAAGTACATTCTAAGATTCAACCGCCAACTTTTATTGACATCTCTATACAGGGCGAGTCTTAAATAAGTGCAAGAAATTTGTTGTAAATAAGTGTAATGAGGTATTTTTGCAAAATAAAAAAATTTAAAATTTGAAATTTTTTGAAAAAAAAAAATGTGGGATTGTTTATAGTTAAAAAACATAATATCTTGATAATATGGCAACATAGCTAGTGGATTAAATTTAAAAGAAAGAAAAAATCAGTGGTTCTCAAAATTTAAGCAAAAAAATATATTTTATTAAATTTTCAAAATAACAGAACTCGGTTATTTTAGACTTCTTTAAAAAACGGTAAAGAGAAAATATATTTCTTATATCGAAATCTACCAATCATGAAAATATTTGCATTTATTTCTGACTCACCCTGTATACAGGGTGGTCCGAACTGTATTCCGGAAACTTCGGCAGCATATTCTGCAGATAAAAATAAGTAAAAAAGTTCGTATAAATGTATGTCCTAGAATGTATAGTTTCGGAGATACAGGGTGTAGAAGTTTCATTTTTATTACGATTTTTTCCAAATAATTTCTGAAGTAACGTCCACATTTGGATGAAAATTGGTATCTGGGAGTTTTTTGACATGAGAAATTTGATTCTGATGTCAATTTGACTCCTACTAGTAGAGGGCGCCACCTAATTATTTTTTAATTTGTTTGAAGAGTAATAACTTTTCGTCCGTACCTGTATAAAACTACTGAGTGAAAAAATATACATTTGCGACATTTTTTACGTCAAAAAGGTCTCTTGGTAAAAATCGCTACGAAAAATGGTTTTCGAGATATTTAGAATCGAAATTATCAATACCTGTCATCATTGACATAAATTAAACACGTTGACTAAATAATTATTAGATTGAAATCATAAATTTGAAATGTTTTTGTGCTAAAAGTTCAATAAAAACTGTTTTATCATCATTTTTTGCAGAAAAAATTATGATTAATTTAAAAAAAAAAAATTCCCAAATTTATTATTTTAGTGAAATAACTATCTTCTCAACGTGTTTATTTTTCGTCAATAATAACATGTATTGTCTATTTCCATTCTAAATAGCTTAAGAACGGTTGCTCGTAGCGATTTTTACAAAGAGATATTTTTTACGTAAAAAGTCACAGAGATGTATATTTTTTCACTCGGTAGTTTTATACAGATACAGTCAAAAAGTTATTACGCTTCAAAACAGTTAAAACACATGTAGGTGGCGCCCCCTACAAATAGAAGTTATATTGACATCAAAATCAAATTTCTCATGTCAAAAAACTCCCAGACACCAATTTTCATCCAAGTAATTACGTTATTTCAAAAATTATTTGGAAAAAATCGAAATAAAAAATGAAACTTCCACACCCTGTATCTAAGAAAATAAGCCATTTTAAGACATACATTTATACGAACTTTTTCACTTATTTTTATCTGCAGAATATGCTGTCGAAGTTTCCGGAATACAGTTCGGACCACCCTGTATATTTATTGATATTATAATGTACAATGTTTGAAATAAATAAAAGGAAACCTGGCTGACAAATCAAATAACTCCAGAGATACAATTACAGAAAGAAAGGTGCGTAATGTATGTATATGTTCAATAAATATACAATTAGGTGAGGCGGGCGCGCAAACAAGATTTTTCTAATCCAATGAATATTTCACGATTCCATCTTGTTTTTCGCTCACCCGCAGAGGCAAAGACGTCTTCTTTTATCTATTCATTCGACGTTCTGTGTGTCTTCAGCGATATTTTCCCGAATTGGTCTCAGATAAAGTAAGATTGATTGCCGATCCGACAGAAAGAATACAGAAAAAATCGTTGTCTTACCATGATATCCTCTATTTTCGTCTTGGTATCTGCTCTATCTAATTTTAACGCTTATTCAACAGTGTTTTTTTGTCGTGAATTTTCTAGTTCTCACTAACTTTATAATCAAACTTAAAATCGAGAAAATATACCTTGCTGGCAACTGTTACTTTTGGGTCGGCATTTATGTGTGGAAGTAAATCGCATAGGGATCTTATTAAGTCGGAGTGAGAGAAATGCGACCGACCGACGCGATGCGCGACGGTGTGCTGTTGCGGCGTTGCCGATACGCCTTTCCCTATCAAGTAAAGTAAAATCACGATCGCAAACCGCTTATTTTTAAAAGACTTTTTTTTCAAGAGATAATTAGATAAAATCATTAGACATGTTTCTGAGCATCTGAAATTGAATTATAAGGATATCGTTAAGGTATCATTTTTTTATTTTCAAGATCGGATATTTTACAATATGTTTACATAAGAAAAATTCGATAAGGTTGTTTTTTCCATTCAAAAATTGTAAACAATCCATCCATTTACTTTTAGAGCATAGCAATTTTCAGCAATCGTGTAATTTTTTTATTGATAAAGATTTTCACATACTGTCTACAAAGAAAATGCAGCAGAAATATTAACAAAGTTCTTGAAAAAACTACAATCTATTATTTCTAATAGATTTCGAGATATCAATTTTTGAATTCAGAGTTCTACTGACCACTATCGAACACCCACCCAATTCCACTTATTTTTACCAAAAATGCAAGTGTTTCTAGCTTGCACTTAAAAAAATTCAAGCTTTAGGGCAAATTACAACGACTCGTTAATAAATAAACAAATTAAGTATCACGAGACGTAATTAAATCATGAAGCTGAACGCATGACGTAGACCTTTCCCTAGAACTTTAAGTACTGACAGAGGTATTGATTGGGTCGACCGGTCATCTGCGACAAATCTGCTATATCCCCTTCCACATCCCTTAGCGATGTGCACAGTTTCTCGGTTTATTTCAATCCCGGGCCCAAACGGTACATTGTGAAACAAAAAATTGTAGAGAGAAACAAGCTGTAACATAGGATACAATATTTTAATGAACAGTTCTTTCCATAAAATCAATAAAATGGTAAATATACGAAATAATAACCATGTACTGATTTCTTTCGAAAATCGACAATTATGGAACTATGAACGCTTCCCGGACACAAACGGTACATTGTGAAACAGGAAATTGTAGAGAGAAACAAGCCCTACAACATCGGATACAACATTTTAATGAACAGTTCTTTCCATAAAATCAATAAAATGAAACCAAACCAAATCAAAATACACAAAGTAATAAAAACACAAATCACCGCACTTTCCGACAAATCAAAAATATCTGAATTAATAATTATTTAAATAATGATTTAAAAATAACTTGACGGATCACCAATATTTTGTCAACTAGACCAAAACTAGACCATAGACGATAGTCAACATAGAGGCTATCATGTCATCTTCATATATAAATTAGAAAAGTGTACTTTAATGTCTTTTGCACCGTCTGGCGATGCGGGAGGAACTAAATTTGTAGTTCTATATAATTACTATTGAGTGTCTAGGGCCTGTCTATTATAAACCTTTGACGTTCTGTTAAAATGACATTATACTATGTCAAACTTCAAATTGACAATTAATTTTTGTCAATGTCACACAATTTAATTGTGTTAAACATCTTCATTCTCAAAACATGATTTAAAATAAACAATACTAATTCATTATTAAAAATTCACGGTGAAGAAACATTAAAAAAACAAGATTTTTGCTAATAAACCGAAGAATGAAGACGTTGTCCCAACAGAATATTGCTAGAGAAGAACACTGGCCAAAAGTTCACTGTAAAAAAGGACGCCAACAATCACCAATAGCTCTATCACAAAAAACGTCCTACTTAAAGAATTTGGAACCCATAAAGCTAGAAAACTTTGATCAAGATTACATTCTAGACGTCCATCATTTAACTGATTTAGTAGTCCTAAAAATCCCAGACATGTGTCCTTGTAGTAAGCCAAAAATATCTGGTGGTGGCTTAACGCAAACTTACATCTTGGAAAACTTACATTTTCATTGGCCTTCAGAGCATACGATTGATGGTATTAGATATGATATGGAATGTCATTTTGTACTGTATTCAACAAAGTATCGTACATTTAAAGAAGCCCTAGCTCATCCTTTTGCAGTCGCAGTAATGGCCGTATTAAATTTTAAAACGAATTATACACAAAGTAACAATTTTAAAATAATTGCAGAAGCCACGAAAAAACTAAAAGGTACAGGCACCAAACAGAGAACAACTGAGCCACTAAAATTCATAGACTTTTTGCCATATGATCTAGAAAAGTTTTTTTATTACGAAGGGTCGTTTAGTGTTCCTTGGTGTCCCGAATATGTTCATTGGCTTGTATTTAAGAATACTGCTAATATACAAAGTTCTTACTACATGGACATGAAACAAATACGAGGTGAAGATGGTGAATTAGTTGAATCCAATAATAGAACATTGCAGAATATTAATGGAAGAAAAGTTATTTTACGAACTAGATGGTTTTATATAAATATTTAATTTTTAATGTAAACATATACGAGTGTACGACAAAATGTGATTAAATAATTATAAATTGTTAATTTGAAGTTTGACTTCATGTATCACACTTGAACATCGTCATATTTCTGCTAATATATGTTTGTTCTTTGCAAATTCACCTAGGGGTGGGTCGGGGCAGTTTGAAAAAAAACTCATTTAGCTGGGTCCCAATTTGTAACTTATGCTGAAAAAATTACTTTTTTCATTCATGTCCACCTAATTTTTCGTGTAAGGATTAGTTTTTCAATTTCACTCTAAAAACTTTATGATCATCGTTTAGCATTTTTCATGGGCTTTCCAAAAAGGCGCCACAAGTGGGGTGTTGCCATTTAAGATTTTCAAGTGAGTAGGGGTGCCGCCTAAGGGGTAGGTCGGGGTGGTTCAAAAAATACGTCATATGTATTCCCCCTCGATATTATAGAAACGGTTTTTTTTTGATATCTTTTTTGATTTAAAAATTATAGCCATTGTAAGTTTTCAGTGGCCCACCCTGTATAAATGCCGAGGCCAGTGCGTAAGGGACAGGCGATAAAAAGCAGCTGTGACTCCGTGGGTGGATTGAGTGGTCCTGGTGGCTTCTGGATTGAGCGGTCCGAGGTTCGAATCCCACAAATATAGAAAGGGACAGACGATAATAAGCTACGGTGTGCTACGGGACGCGGCTTACTTGCTTTTCGCTCTAAATAAATTAAAAATATATTCGGTAGATTAATAAGTTTTTAAATAGTTTTCCTTTTGTGTTATATCATTATTGTTTTGTTAATTAGTGTAAAATATAAATTGCGTTAAATAAATTAGTCTTTTTATCCATACGGAACCGACAAAAAACGCAACAATATTGTAACTCTGTGTATGTAGTTTACAATGCCACTTTTGTTTAAAAATATTAGTCTTATCGTCTGCTCCTCATTTAGTTTTCGGCCCAAAATTATTAAACATTAGGTAATATATTTAAAAATAGATTGGGGAAAATCGAAAAAAAAAACATCTTAGTTATCCTTAAAAAGTTCCATAAAGAAATTTATTTGCTAGACCAATTCTGGTAATTCGTTAACTTCACTTTGCCGATACCGTACGTCAGTTTCTTGCCATAGACGAGATATAAAATTTTTATTACCGCCATCCTACGAAGCGACTCCGATCCTTTTTAGCGCAAAATGCATCTTAACCTTGGAAGCGGAAGCAACAAAACAAAGAGCATCCACCGTTTCGAGATATATAAGAGGCGAAACATCATTTTTCATAGGGGCGCGTAAAATCGTAACGCGACGGCAAGGAAGATACGTCGGAAGTGTTGAAAATTATTATCCTTTTCCGGAATAGTTTGTCTTTTTGTATCTGTAGCTGGACGCGAGGACTGGATTTTGTATTGTCATCGGTCTGTCAAATGAGTGTAAGAAATAAATTGCAGTTAAAAAGTTTTATTTATTTTCTTATACAGGGTGTCCCAAAAATAGGTGCATGTAATTTAGCCCTTTATAGGTTGACGGTCGCTAAATCGACCACTTTAATTTAACCAACTAATCAGTGCAAGTGTATTATCGCCCAGTTTGTTTGCTATGCTGATTTCTATGCGCGCTTTTGCCTTTTAATCAACCATATCTATACGTTAGCCGAATTGGCGCGGAAAGTTAACGTAGTGGTGGAATATTCGACCAATGAGCATTGGTGACACTGAGTTCGCTGTGTATCATACAGGGTGGGCCACTGAAAACTTACAATGGCTATAATTTTTAAACCAAAAAAGATATCAAAAAAATAAAAAATACCGTTTCTACAATATCGAGGGGGAATACATATGACGTATTTTTTGAACCACCCCGACCTACCCCTAAGGCGGCACCACTACTCACTTGAAAATCTTAAATGGCAACACCCCACTTGTGGCGCCTTTTTGGAAAGCCCATGAAAAATGCTAAACGATGATCATAAAGTTTTTAGAGTGAAATTGAAAAACTAACCCTTACACGAAAAATTAGGTGTACATTGATGAGAAAAGTAATTTTTTCAGCATAAGTTACAAATTGGGACCCAGCTAAATGAGTTTTTTTTCAAACTGCCCCGACCCACCCCTAGGTGAATTTGCAAAGAACAAACATATATTAGCAGAAATATGACGATGTTCAAGTGTGATATATGAAGTCAAACTTCAAATTAACAATTTATAATTATTTAATCACATTTTGTCGTACACTCGTATATGTTGACATTAAAAATTAAATATTTATATAAAACCATCTAGTTCGTAAAATAACTTTTCTTCCATTAATATTCTGCAATGTTCTATTATTGGATTCAACTAATTCACCATCTTCACCTCGTATTTGTTTCATGTCCATGTAGTAAAACGATGATCATAAAGTTTTAAGGGTGAAATTTAAAAACTACCCCTTACACGAAAGATTAGGTGGACAATAATAAAAAAATTAATTTTTTCAGCATAAGTTACAAATTGGGACCCAGCTAAATGAGTTTTTTTTCAAACTACCCCAACCCACCCCTAGGTGCCACCCCCTCACTTCTAATCTCAAAATAGCGATACCCCACTTGTAACTCCTCTTTGGAAAGCGTATAAAAAATGCTGAACGACTGTCATAAAAAAGAACGAAAAAAAATAGAGCCTAAAAATAAAACAAAAATGTCAAAACGTGTCAAAATCAATAGAATTAATTATTTTTATATCCATGAACCATTGCGAGAAAAAAAAGCTGGTACAAAGAAATTTATTATAACTCGCTTAATGAAGACCTCATACACTTTCAGCAAAATGGAGCCACTTCACATTATTCTATTGTCACAAGGCCGTGGTTGGATAAATATTATCCAAGGCAATGGATTGGGAGAAGGGGTCTAATCGAGTGGCCGCCAAGGTTACCTGATCTCACTCCTTTAGACTTTTCCTTGTGGGGTTACACTAAATTCATAGTCTACAAGACAAAAGCAGGTTCGTTGCAAGAACTAAGGCACAGGGGAACTGAAGCATGTCGAAATATTCCGAGAGAGACTTTCCAAAAAGTGAGAGAAGAATTTGAAAATTGTTTGTATTTTTGTATGAAACAAAACGGCTGTCATTTTGAGCAATTATTAAAATAAATTATCATTTTAAATTTCTTTCAAATTGTCACACCTATATTTCTTGTCACTAACCAGTAATTAAGTTGAAGTCTGTATGACCATCTTTTAGCAATTTCAATTAGCTTTCCAAAGAAGTGTCACAAGTGGGGTATCGCTATCTTGAGATTAGAAGTGAGGGAGTGCCACCTAGGGGTGGGTTGGGGTGGTTTGAAAAATACTTCATTTAGCTGGGTCCCAATTTGTAACTTATGCTGAAAAAATCACCTTTTTCATTAATGTCCACCTAATTGTTCGTGTAAGGGTAGTTTTCCAATTTCACCCTAAAAACTTTATGATCATCATTTAGCATTTTTCATGAGCTTTCCAAAAAGACGCCACAAGTGGGGTGTTGCCATTTAAGATTTTCAAGTGAGTAGGGATGCCTCCTAAGGGGTAGGTCGGGGTGGTTCAAAAAATACGTCATATGTATTCCCCCTCGGTATTTTTTATTTTTTTGATATCTTTTTTGGTTTAAACATTATAGCCATTGTAAGTTTTCAGTAGCCCACCCTGTATAGGTAATAATTATTGTCGTCTAAGCATTGTCTATGCAAATTTCATGTGATAAAAATTTAAAAATATAGAAACAAACGTATCAGTGACGTTTATTTCTTTTTATTTAGTGCACCAAATTTACGGCTCGGATGATATTTTCTAAAATCGTTAACGTATCCTGTATATTTTCGATCATTTCTCATAGGATGCGAGTTTCTTGAAAAACAGAGTTTGATTTCCTTGATATGGGCATAATTTATATGGGATTTTATATATATATATTAGCATTTGAGTAGAGAGCTTACAGAGATAATCAAAATGAACTTACTCTTTTTTCTTACATTGAATGATACATACAGTTTATTCATTATATTCATTAAATCAATACATATTATCTATTTGCTTTAACAGTCACTGGTTGAAAAATCGACCACAACTCCACACTCCCTTATTTGTTAACTTTTTGAAAATTGTTATTAAGAAGATATGCTCCCTTTGTGCTAGTTTATTTATTTATTTTTTGTATATTTTATATTATTTTCTATTTATTTTTCAATGCAATTTAGTAATTTCATTACTCCGTTATATGTATAGACTTATTTTTAGCTTAATACTAGTAGAGAGACTGCCCTTATTAAATTTACTACACAGCATTTTTTGCTATCAACAACCGCGGCTGCATTAGCTGTGAAACATTAAATTTCCCAACTTTTCACAGCGTGTTACTAAGTTATATGTCAAAGTTTCGTGGAAAAATGCTCAAGCGAGAAAAAACTTTTATAGTACACCGTAAAGCGTTTGATTTATTTACTAGAAAATGCAATAAAATTAACCATGAAAGTTTGTTACAAGTAAACTCTTTTAAACAAATTTTAGAAAGCGTACAAGATAGTTTTAACGTAAAATTAACCTTACAATATAAACTACTCAAAACAGTTATCGCATATTTTCTAAAAAAATATTAATTTGAACAAGACACTTTGAATTCCCTGACTTAGGTACGATTTTAAATAAATGGATAGTGTGAAGGGAAATTCGATAAAATAAGCCTACGCACTGACCTGTAATTTTTAGTCGGCCGACTATTTAATTGCAAAAGTGAAAACAATACATACTTATGAAGTCGATCGGCGGACTATTTGATTGCACGTCAGCGCGGCTCCATAAGGATATATTGGTTACGCAAATATGTAACTAAATAGTCGGCCGATTAAAAATTGCCTGTCAGCGCATTGCCTAAGACTACGCAATGTAATCAGATATTGGGCCAATCGGCTCCATAAGAATGTATTGTTTTCACTTTTATAAAATAAAACATTAAATTACCACAATACACCAAAACACTTTTACTTTTACACTGGACGCGCGTTTCGCTAACCATATTAGCATCATCAAGAGATGACTAAGAAC